CAGCAGATTCTCAGGCTGGTTTTCTGCCTGCATGCTTTTCCCCGGCCTCCTCCCACGTTCTGAGTTGTTAGATTATTTGGTGATTCTCAGTTGTCTGTGGGGGTGGATGCAATATAGAAGTGCTGTTTGAATATGTGTGAACAGGTGAAGTGGAATACTTGGAGTTGTCACTAAAATTAGAAATACACCATATAAGTGCCATAAAATGCTTTTAAATGTGAAAATGCACCAAAATCCATCAGCGCATTGTTGTTTTTTTTCTTTCTGTTTTCTTAACAGTAACATTTGCTTTGGTTTTGCTGTGTTTCCCATCGAGCCACAAAGTATCGGTCAGATCTCTGGATGCGTCTGACTCTTAAACTTGCCCTCAATCTTACAGTGGCATAGACAGCAGCATGACAGCTACTCTCATTGGAAAATCTGATCTGCTTTTCTTTGTATCCAAGATATCCACGGGCCAGACGGGGAGGGCTTTCCATTTTTCCCCACTCCCTCTCACCCCCACCACCATCTCCCTGAGGGTACAGTGTGACCCATACAGGCACCCAACTGGAAGGATCAGCTTCCTTTGCCTACACCCCCCCTGCACCCCATTATATCTGTCCTTGTTAGCCCATCACTGCCCACTTAACTTGTTTTACGTTATTACATGACATCAGTCTTACTTATTGACCTTAATAAGAGGAAAAATCGAACCCACATACTCCCTAAACATGGCCTACTTAATGTATACGAGCACGTGAATTTATAAGCTGCCGATTCTATTGTATCTCACATACGTGAAACTCAGTGTCAGCATTATCTGAAGTTGAAATAACTTTAAAGTTGGATGTTTGTGGATTTCATTATTTATTAGACCTAAATAAAGCAAGAACCACCCACAGCCTCTCTGTGTCACACAGGAAGGCTTTTCACTGGGGGAAGAGACAGCGAAGTAGATCTCTGACAGGGGGCTTCGTATTTCTGATGCAGTCCTGTATGCACTTGTGGGTGCATGCATGTTCTTCCGTGCTATTTTTGTGTGTGTGGGTTGAGATGATGTGATGACGAGTGCTCCAGATTTCAGTTCGCCAAATGTTTCAGTGCAAAAGTTGGTTATTTAGAGCAGACAGTGCTCTAAATAAGGTTTCTGTGGCTCTGAATATTTAATCAAAAGACAAATTATGAGACACAGAGCTGAATGAGCCCAACCTCAGGTGGTAACCAAGCTGATGGAGCTTTGGTAGTTGATGCGATAAATGGATTCAAGGCGATACCAGTGAACTGACACAGATTGCTTTCTTTCTGTTGAATGTATGATGATTGGCCCTACAGGGCAGAGAGTAAACCACCGCACAGACTTGGAATGGTTTGCTATCTTGATCAAGGACACTTTGATAAAAGTGGAGCTTGATGCCTCGGGGACTTAAACTCCGGCTGACCAGGTGAAGGAGACCAGCCCACATTTGTGAAACAAAAATAGGAGCGCAGGGTTTAACCTAGTTATTGTAGCACAGTCACAGACTTGCACTTAATAAAGAAAAGCTTTTGTAACGATGATGAAATGATCACACCTTTGATCACAGATGATGGTGTTTTTAAATGATGGGATCCTTTATCACACTGTTTGCCAGCCAAGCAGCCTGCAGCTGTGCTCATTTAGAATGAAAGTCACCTAAAATGTCAGGACAACTAGTGGTAAAAAAGAAAAGTGACGCATATTTTAAAGTGCAAGACAGCAGAAATAAACCACGTCTGTTTTAACATTACAAAATTGATGTTTATTATATATATTTAGAAGATACAGGGTTCATTTTTCTCTGTTATTAATGTGGCTTCATAAGGTTATTTTATGTAAAAACTATTGAATCCTTTACTTGAGCTATTTTCAAAGTGTCTGTAAATATTGTCTTTAACACAGTTTTTATATTACTTTGTTTACTATTGCTGTACGCTAGGAAATCCAGATCCTCTTCTCTTTTTATTTTAAGCATTTAAGAAGGAATTACTTTACACATGAATGTTAGCTGACATGTTTTCCTTGTCATGATGTCTTTCAGTTGGGATGAGAGCAGCTCCATCAGCAGTGGACTGAGTGACGGTTCAGACAACCTGAGCTCTGAAGAGTTTAACACGAGTCCCACTCTCAACTCTCTTCCCACCACTCCCATTGGCTCCCGCAGAAACTCAAGCATTGTGGTGAGTGACACACAAACACAGCACACGAAATAGACGCGCAACTGTTTGACACAGACGGATAAGAAGTGCGTGCACTGATTACAGTAGTATTGATTAAGCTGTTAATCCACAAAGGTATTGAATGCACACACTTTGTCAGTGTACAGAGGACACACACACACACACACACACAC